TTGCGCGGCATGCATGAGTTGCAGGGGACGTATCATATGAGCTGTGATTGGATAATTCAAGGTTGAACTTAGAATGCTCCGAACCATAGTGATGGACAGGGTTGGGACGTTGGTCGATAAATTTGGGTTTATTGATTATTGAAAAATAAATAAATTGATCATTTCTTATTTGAAATTTATTAAAAAGTAAAACGATTGAATATTGAGTTTTGGTCCGACCTACATAGAACGAGCTTAAAGTATCTTGAAGTCTTGCAGTAGTATTGCTTGAGTTTGGGTAGATTTTGCAGATGGCAGTTGGCGGCACCCATCCAATGACTGTGGACAGCTTCACTCGTTCGCTGTGACGTAGGCGTAGGACCCAAAGCTTGTTGTCTTGCAATACTTGCTTGACGTGCTGAAGCTGTTTTCTATCACAGATCCCTTGTGCTCTCTGAAACAAAGACTACAGATACAGTAGCTAACTGTGAAGAATGATCGTGAGATAGTAATGTGACCGATAGTGTATTCAGGATTTCGGATGACTAAAACATCTAGGAAAGCTAAAGAATTATTTGCTTCTAACTTCATTAAGAGTTGTACTTTAGAGTTTATGGAGTAAAGGTGGTCTAAAAATACAGTTGCTTTGTCAGATGGTAAAATTGTGAAAGTGTCGTCTACGTACCGCTTGTAGAATCTTGGATGTACAGGAGCAGTAAGAAGGGATTTCTCCTCAACGTCCTCCATGAATATGTCGGCGACTATAGGAGATACAGGTGAGCCCATCGCCACCCCATCATCTTGCTTGTAGAACTCTTCCTTCCACAATGGATAGCCAGATGTGAAGCAGTGTTTGAGTAATACTGCATATTCTGCAGGCATGTTGTTATCTTCTAGCTTCCTAGTTACAATTGAGATGCAGTCTTCAATAGGCAGGTGAATAGTGACTGAACACCAAAGTTTCATTGTGAGCGAGATGTAGGTTGTTTTATGTCACTAACAAAATGGTATGAGGTGTATACCTGTGTACGGCTACGTATATGCTTGTCAACAATTATGAAATATATCAGTGTGTTACTTGCAAGCGGTTGTTTCACTCGTGCTCCTATAACGCATACGTACCAGGGGCAACGATTACCCACATATTATTTTAAAAAATGGCCACAACGCAGTTCAGAATTTTGTCAATTTTCGACCACAATGTGCAGTCATGGAAGACGTAAAAATGCCGCCTCACGCAGTGGTTCATTGCGAATAATATTACCTCTGCTACTGATACACGAGGGGAAAAAATAAGAGCGATACTCCTGAGAGCACTGTCTAACAGTACCAATACCAACTAGCGTCAGATCTTGCACTGCCTAAAGAGATCCAAGAGGTGCCATTTGAGGATATCTTGAACCTCCTGGATAAACATTTTATACCAAAGCGTCACGGGTTTAGTGAAAGAAGTATTTTTTACTCTTCAACGCAACATCCAGGCGAATCACATGTCCAGTGGGCTGCAAGACTTCGTGGTTTGACAGCTCACTGCGCATTCAGCAATGTAGAAGAAGCATTACGGGATAGATTCGTTAATGGGGATGTTACCGGGACCCGAGCGCGATAAGTTGTTCGCCCAGGAACTGGAAGAGCTATCGTTATCGAAGGCAGTCGAACTGGCAGAGACGATACGGTGCGCGCGCATTGCCGCATCTACCTCTGCTACAGGGCATGCAGCAGCGGTTCTCCCTGACGTCAAGGAAGATCAGCTTTTCAAGATCACGGAAGGTTCATCCAATTCCAAACGAATGGAAAAGTGTTCTGTGTGTGGACGCTCTAACCACATCTCAGCAAGGTGTTGGTTTGAACAATATAAGTGTAAAAAGTGTAATAAAAACACTTACAAAAGGTCACTTACAAAAAATGTGTAAATCGAACTACGTTGAAGTTAAGGAGTTGGATGAGAGCGAGGATGACGGTAAGTTGTTTAACGTACGGTCTAGGAATGGAGAACCCATAGTTGAGCTGGTGACACTTAATGGCATTCCGTTAAAATTTGAAATTGACAGTGGGTCGGCAGTGTCTGTAATATCTAAAGACACATATGATACATATTTTAGGAGCGTTCCCTTACAGCGCAGCGCAAATAAATTGACATCTTATACCGGTAATAATATTATTTCCGCTGGACTAATTAGAGTGCCGGTAACATACTCGGGGCAGACGGCCGAACTTAATTTTTACATAGTGCCCGGGGGCGGACCACCGTTATTGGGTCGTGATTTTTTGTCGATTTTTAAAATGAAATTAGTAAAATGTCATTTTGTATCGAATACTGAAAATATAATGCTAAAATTTCAGCAACAATATCCTGAAGTGTTTTCCGATAATCTTGGTGCATTTAACAAATATAGAGTAAAGTTGCAATTAAAACCAAATTCACAACCAATTTTTTTAAAGCTCGGCCAGTAGCTTTTCCACTAAAAAGTAAGATAGACGAAGAGATCGACAGATTTTAGGCATTTTAAAACCCGTAGAATATTCCGAATACGCATCTCCTATAGTACCAGTATTAATACGAAACGGTACTGTAAGACTTTGTGCCGATTATTCAGTAAGTATTAATAAGCAATTAATAGTTGAACAATATCCATTGCCGTCAATACACGAATTATTTGCCAAATTACACGGCGGACAGCAATTTTCCAAAATAGACTTGTAGATGGCATATAACCAATTTATCTTAGATGACGATTCACAAAAAATCACGTGCATCAACACTCATCGCGGGTTATATAAATATTCGCGTATTGTTTTCGGTCTTTCCTCTGCCCCGTCGATTTTTCAACGTGCAATGGATTGTGTACTGTCGGGATTAGATGGGGTTCTATGCCTTTTAGACGATATTTTGATCACTGGTAGAAATGATAACGAACATCTCGAAAGGCTACATGCGGTGTTTAGTAGGCTAAGGGATGCTGAGTAGTACAAAAAGAAAAATGTGAATTCTTTCTGGAAGAAATTAATTATTTAGGATACACTATTTGACGGGTTGAAAAAGTCACATGAGAAGGTAAAAGTAATTCTAAAAGCACCGGTTCCAACAAACATAAATAAACTGCAGTCGTTTTTAGGGTTCGTTAACTATTACAGAAATTTTGTAAAAAGTGCATCTAGCATTCTAAGTCCGCTATACGATCTCTTGAAAAAAAGGCACTCAATGGGGTTGGTCGCGTGTACACGGTGACGCATTTAATAAAATAAAAAAGTGTTTAGCGTCTGAACAAGTCCTAGTGCATTTCAATCCTAATAATAAAATAATATTAACTGTTGACGCTTCCCCGACCGGTTTAGGAGCGGTGTTATCACAGATAGATAGCGACGGAGTTGAGAGACCTATTTCTTTTGCATCGCGCACTTTAAATGCGTCAGAAAAAAGGTATTCTCAAATCCAGAAGGAGGCAACTGCAATTATTTTTGATGTGAGACGTTTCCATCAATATTAATATGGAAGATCGGAACCATTCACTTTACGCACTGGCCACAAACCACTCATAACTATATTCGGCCCATACAGAGGTATTCCGGAAGTATCTGCAAATAGGCTACAAAGGTATGCCTTATTTCTCAGTGGCTACAGTCATCGCATAGCGTTAACAATTTGCGGACTATTTATCACGAGCGAGCCGGATGTCGCGGGGGACGCGGGCACGGGTAGCAATGGAAACAACGACGGCTCCAGTATACGCATAGGCGCTGACACACTCGACCGCGCATCTTACATTAATTTTGTCACAGACGGTAGCCTTTCTGTTACGCATAACATATTACGACATGTCACGGGTAAGGATAACGTTTTAAGTAAAGTTAAAAAATATGTGATGGAAGCGTGGCCTAAAAAGGTGTATGACATTAACATAAAACCTTACTTTTTATGCAGAACGCAGTTATCTTTTGAAGATGGGTGCTTAATGCGAGGGCACAAAATAGTTTTGCCTGGACGATTGCGGATAAAGATTCTGTCCGAGTTACACAATTCCCATCTCATCATACTTGGAGTAGTAAAAACAAAAGCGGAAGCTTGGGCTAGGTTTTGATTCCCGGGTATTGGTGCAGCTACAGAAACGATGATAAGGTCATGCAAAATATGCACCCAGCTGCGTCATTCGCCACCACTAACGCCTATATCACCATGGAAATATCCTCCATTGCCATTTTATAGGATCCACATGGACTTTTCAGGACCGTTACATGGTCATATGTATTTAGTTATTGTGGATGCTTATACGAAATGGGTCGAAGTATACGTAATACCGTCTACTTCATCGGCTGTGATCGAAAAACTCTACGAGTATATATCGAGGTTCAGTTTACCTCAAACCATAGTAACCGATAACGCAGAGAGCTACATTTACTTCCTACGAGTTTAAAAATTTCTGTAGTGTTAACGGTATCACTCATGTGACGTTACCTCCGTATCACCCCGCTAGTAACGGTCAGGCTGAAGGGTACGTTAAAATAGTGAAAAAGGGGTTGAAGTCGTGTCTACTTTCTAGTGATAGCAACAATAAAAAGTAATATAAATTAAAATTACTTAAATTCTTATTGGATTATAGGAATTCCTTAAACAACACAACTTCAATTAGTTTTTGGTCGCAAGTTACGAACTCGTTTGGACTTAATGAGCCATGTACTACCGCTTTCATCCACATCCTTAAATAATAAAGTCTAAAACAAACAGTATTTGCAGATTAAGGCACATGGGGAAAAATGCAAAACCTTTTGAACCCGGGACAAATCTTTTGTATAAAAAATTTGAAAATAATAATACACATCAGTGGTGCCGGGGTATTATAATAAAAAGAATGGGCAAAGTAACGTATATGACAAAGGACATACATACTTCGGCAAGTGTAAAAAAACATAAAAACCAAATCATACGTTACTAGGAACTATACCACGATAATCAAAAAAAAAATCTGGACTTTGATTTTGACTGTCAAAATTTAACAAATAGCATCAGGAAAGAAAACAATGGTATGCCGACCTCGGACGAGCCGCAAATTACCTGCGGGGAAGAGGATATGGTGCAAAATGTCTTTAACTCAACTAACGTTAACGACGAGTCTGACATATCGTCGGAGCCAATCTCAGTGGACACTGAGGCCAATCAGCCTATAGCAACCATTGCTCGTGACAACCCCGAGTCTAGGCTTTGTTTACGCCCCTTACCTAAGGTCGACTATCGTCGTTTCTTTTAGTAAAAAAAATGTAGTTGTTAACTGGGGGGAGGGAATGGTGGTCAACAATTATGAAATATATCAGTGTGTTACTTGCAAGCGGTTGTTTCACTCGTGCCCCTATAACGCCTACGTACCAGTATGAATCATTTGTGTGTGCTCTGGTATGTCTTCTCGGTGGTGACAGTATTTTTGCCAAGTATTGTACCTAAAAGTAGCATTATTAATTAATAAACCAAACGGTACTTGTTTCAAATTAAGACTTAATAATAATAATAAGATATTACTGAAGTTCATGTAACACTAGAATACAATAACCACATTATAACTTTCACTTGTTTTATGATTTATAAATCCGTTAAAATAGTTTAATTTCGACGTGTAACATTCGCCCAAATATTAGAATACCACGTTTCAATCAATTACTTAATGCTATAACTTATTGCGCAATCTACATTAGTACTATATTTAAAAAAATGTAAAAGTTCGTACTAAAACTGGCAAGAATAGAGATGGTATAGCGGAATACAACACCCCTTCTACGGTTTTTCATTCATAATATGAAGATTGTCTTCTGTGAAGTGTCTTGAACATAGTACATATAGTTGGTGGGAAACCATTGGTCCTTTCGACAAGTAGCGTTGATCCACATCTTTTTCCTTTCGGGGCATTTAAGAAACCTATAACATATAGGAACCATAACGATACACCACTATTTTTATAAAACAATGATTAAAAAAATGTAAACGATGACCAAACTAATATCTACTTATAAATCACAACACTATCGATACCCGAGCTGTCGTTAGACAAAGACAGCTACTGTAATTTATGTAATGAGTGAAAGGGACATTTCAAAAAGACATTAACGGGTGTTTAATTGTTATCACTTTGCACCATTATATTACAACTCCGGTGCATTTGAAATAGGTTAACGTGATAAGAATAGAATTTACTTACCGATGAAATGTTATGCCATCTTTTTGATAAATGGATGTCTTAGCTGATTTACCACACTATTTTACTGCACAGGAAGCCATTTGTAATGTATTTTGGGTACAAGACTATTTTTAAATTGTCAAGAACTCGGACGTGCCTACGGGTTACTATTTTGGTCGATACTGATATCGTGATTCTTAGCGTTACTTCGTATGCTAGCTACAGCAAGCATGTGTTGCGCGCGTTTGTGGCCCTGTATGCGGAATCTATTAGAAGGTAATCTGTGCTCCAACACCACACTTTCAATTCAAAACATAGCAATTAAAAAATCTAAAACAATATTACGTTTATTTTTTTTTAAATTTATTACATTATAATCATAGAACTTACGAAGTACTGTGATATACAAGATTTTTATTCAAAATTATTAGTCACTAATAGATCTAAAAGAAATTTGTGACACAGTTTACCTAACTTTTATATTTAAGCCACAATAACAGTTTTAAGTAAAAAATAAACTCAAAATTATAAGACAAAATTTTATAGTTTTTTCATTGATTGCAGCCTATCAAGAGTTAACTTCAGAATATAATCACTGCATAGATTGGCTTATGAGAGGATTAATGCCACGCTGGGCAGGTGGGTTAGCAATCGCATTTTTCATTATTTTGATTGATTTGTGTCGGAAAGATGCTTCTTACCATCTCCTGTTTCAATTACTTTATCGTCTCTTACTTCTTACGACACTATGGGACTGTATGAGGTAGTGGATTTTCTTACACCCACGGAGATGATTTGTCGTTATCATCATCCACCTATTATTTTTTCCAGTAGACGAAAAAAAAAAGAAATACAGAAAATATGGAATCATTTCGAGCATGTCTATTTGTTGGTCACAGGATTTTCTTACGTAATAAATAATAATAATAATTTCATTATTCAGGAAAAATTAAGTAACGTTACATAAAATAAAGTAGATAATTTAAATAAAACAGAGATATAACAATTAACTTTTATCCAAATAAATGTATTAAATATATGAACTTGAAATTATCGGGTGGACTGTCACTTAAAGGCTCTAAGTATTTTCCTAAATAAATGTTTCGAAATTGCTTTTCCATATCTCCGAATAATCTGCAAAAATAGAAAATATATATAAACTGAAATATTAAAAAAAAGAGAAATATTAAAAATAATTTTATAATTCGATAAATTATCAGTATTCAAAGAATCTATAAGCCCAATCATTGATTATGAAACGACGCCTTACTTCTACATACGACGTATACCTATTCTGCACGTATAGTTTGTAAGAAACCTAATGTTTTTCAAATTTCTACCTAGCCTAAAAGATTGTGACGACAACAAAATCGTGGAGTTAAATTCTCTAAATCTTTGCAACTTATAGGGCAGTGAGGGGGTTTCGACTCTGCGCCCATTAACCTGTACCACTCTGAATATGAGTTACTCCTTAGGAATGCCCTTCTTATAGCGCTTGGAAACGTTTGTTGTAAGTCCAGCAGAGGATTATAAAAAAATCTAGAAAAATTTAAGTTATATTTGCGAAAAAAATTAAATAACCTCAACGCCTGCATACAGTGACGACGTGCTAAATTATAAAGGAGTCGGTGAATGCTTGTGGCTCAGGACCGTGCGTTATTGAAATCTAAGACTAGGTACCTCTGAGAATTCTACCGTAATGTAAAATTATGGTATTGAATAAAAAGCTAAATTTGCAATAGACAAGGTTTCTATTTACAGTATTGTTACGACGGTATTGATGTATTGTCTTTAAGAGACAAAACCCGCTAAATAAATAAAGACAAAAGAACCAGATCAAGTTAAAAAAACTCAATATCGAATTTATATTATACAATGTACTAGGATGTCGTTTGTTTTTTCCTCATTTCGTGTAAACACAATGAAAGCTTAACTAAACTAAATGAAGACAACAATTTCTTTTCTGGGCATCGAACCCGGATTGCTCGCCATTTATACGTGGTAGAGCCATGCTGTAGTTATATTAGTAGTATAGTTGTAGTACGAATGGTTCGGCTCGACCGGGGAACAACACAATACAAAAGGAAAATAGTAGCATAATGCTGCTGTGTTTCGTATGATGAGTGTAGAGAACCGGAGACCTTTTTTTCCCGAAATGGGCATTCCATCATAGTCTTCACGGGTGACAACACATCTGCATTTTGATTCATAATCGAGGATGTATGTAGCTGTCCTACCTAACATCAGGTTGACTGTGTGCTTGTTTGTCACCCTGTCCTATAAAATAAATTAATAAAATAACGGGAAGTTAATTTATTATGGAAGACCTTTAGATTACAAATTTACATGTTGAAGAGACTGGTGTTCAAGAATAATTTGCCAGCAAGCCATGCAGTGTCAAGTTAAACGTAATTTTCTTTGAGTCTGTTCTATAAGCCTGGGTATTTTGTTACTTGTTTCACATAATGTTGCGACTTTTCCAGTAAATTAGATTGGAACATTGACAAAGTTGTTTAACTGATGGCAAAGTTTAAGTATTCATTTGTTTTCTGCGTCTCGCTTGAGTAATTAAATCAACAATGTAAAACTTGTTTTTTTTTTCTTCTAAATATTTCTTCAAGAATGTGAAGTATTGAAGTGATCAGTTCAAATTAAAACTGTTGATATTTTTTTAAATATTGAATTTTCGATTTATTAATAATTATGAATATATCAATATCGGAGTTTTATATATAAGTTTATTTATCGATATATTGAAAATTCAATATTTTGAAAAATATCAACAGTTTTAGTTTGAACTGATCAGTTGTAATGATCGCTTGATCTGACCGTGTGTGGCGACCATAATATGCAGGCATGGTTAATCAAATGTCATTAAATTTCTTTGCACATAGATGACATGATAATAGGTAGGTTATCCATGTTGGTGAATATATGTAGTACCTCTATTTTATATTATTATTGTTAACTCTACGACAAATAAAGCTAGAAAGGACAAATTGTCATAATTAGTTATTTTAATTTGTATAAAAGACTTCGTAATAAACCTTTTTAAATTGCTTTTTAATTTTACCTTTCCTTACTTCGATTTAGTCGAGGGTCTAAAAATTACTTAATCCTTCTTTTAATTACAACGTTTACGTCCCGTAGCGAGTTTTTTTTAAATATTTTCGATTTTTTTTTCTAAATTTGTAATGAGTTTATAACAGCATTGGATAATAATTGTATATTACGTCTACCAGGAGGTGATTAGTGCTATTTTAAAATCTGTATGTAAAACGGTGTACTAATATCTACTTCCCCATAATATTCCGTGGGTATTGTAAGCGGCGACAGAGGAAAAAAAACCAGGAGATGAGCAGCGGCAGCTTCTAAATAGCAACAAAAATAAAAAACCTGCGGTTGCCGACCTGTTTGCCAAGCGTAGCAATGGTAGTAAATATCTACCTATGACGTAATTTAATGAGCAGGCCTATGTCTATGTTGAAAGGCTGTAACGCAATGTCTGCAAACCTTTCACTCTCAAACCTTTCATTCAAAGAAAACTGGTTGTGTAACCAAAAAAATAGGACTTCTTGTAATCTAGAATGTAAATAGTAAAGAAAATCATAACAAAGGACACGATAATCTCGACTCCACCGAGTCAGTAATTCATTTTTGGGGCGATGTATACGCTTTTACAACAAAATCCCAGAAAATATGCAAACTGTCATACACAAAGTTCAAAAACTTTATTAAACTAAGTTTGTATAAAAAGGGTTATTTTAATATTATGGAATTTATGGATGATAATAACCCCTGGGAAGGGTGATCGCTACCAAGCTATTTCTAATTTGTCTTGTGTTGTTAATTGTAAACATGATTGTAAGCTATTATTTGAACCGCCGGGTTTCTGGCTGATTCTTCCCAGGACGGAGGTTGTTTTTCGCGAACCAGTGGTAAATGAAAAAAGTGACTTTCAATAAGTATTGTTTATAATCTACATTGAATAAAAAAGTTTCTGTTTCTGTTTATGTTTCAATAGTGCGGTAGGAGTCGAGTGTGTTTGTTGTTTTTTATTTGATTATTGTTTTAAAAAACTA